GATTGGATTGGATTGGATTGGATTGGATTGGATTGGATTGGATTGGATTGGATTGGATTTACATGGCTGCCCATCTTAAAAAACACAACTCTGGGCAACTCACAACAACAATAAAACCGGAAAACAATAACCCCAAAAGCTGGCACCTCCACCACCCTTCACTGATGCATCCACTCAAGCTCCAGCCTCATCCTATCCCAGTGCTTGAGGTTTATAAAGCCCCAGATGGGTTTAAACTTCTAGAAGAGTGGAGACCAGGAAGGGGTCCCAGACTCGTAGGGATGGGGAAATGGGTAGAGAATCTGAGAGAACATAGCTCTCACACACATAATAACAATCATAATACATGGTGTATGGCCCCCAGCAGCTGAACAGTTGCCCACCTACCTGTGTACTTCTAGAAGGACATGTAGCTGTGGTTAAGCAGGGATGGGCTGATCAATTCTTTGAATTCAGAGATCCCTGTGAACCATGAAGAAAAACAGAATATAAGCCCAATAAATAAATAGACTTAAAATGTGAGAAAAGTACAGGTAGTCCTTGTTTAGCGACCACAATTGGGACCAGCAACTCAAAGTGAAGCGGTTGCTAAGTGAAACCGCAACTGTGTTTATGATCTTATTGCAGCTTTCTTTTGCTTTACAGACCTGTGAAGGTCATAAATGCAAGGATTGGTTGCAAAGTTACTTTTTATCACCATTGTAAATGTGAGCAGTCGCTAAAGGAAGGAGTCGCTAAACAAGGACTACCTGTAATTCAAATGCTTTAGACTTAATTAGAGTGATTTGCCTAGATCATTTGGAAATCAACAGAGATATCAAAAATAACGGAAAAAGTGGGCATTTTCCCCTTCCCTCCTATCATGTTAGGACCATGTTGGTTCTACATGTGATTTATTGAATTACTCCAACTCTCTGCAAGCACACTAGGTAGATTTACACAGCTCACTGAGCTACAGACTAGCCAACCATATTTTAGCCCAGCATTATGCAAATCTAGCTTAACCTCAACTTCACTTTAAAAGAACTGTTGGGCAGTACACACAAGCTTGGCAAAAAACATACCTTCCTCCTACAATCCCTAATTTATTGATTTTTGCATTGATATGGAGATGAGTAACAGCCACAAGTGTAGATAGGGGCAGAGATTATACAAATTCACAAAGGATAATATCTCACTATACAATAAGTGAGCCCCAGAATTAAGGATAGAATACCCTTGGATATTCATTGTGTATGTTGGGGAGCAGGGCGAAACAGGGAGGCTTCTTTCACCTCCAGGCCCCACTGGTGGACTTCCCGGAAACATTTGGCCTAGAAACCACCACGGGAGGCAACCTGTTGGACAATATGGATCTTTGGCCATGTCATCATGGTTCTTTTTATGTTCAAATGCCAGGGGTCGGCCACTACAAGGGAGAGAAACATGAACTACTGTCTCCTGGGTAGTAAACCTGCACATGAGAAATGGAACCATTAAAGAGTTTAAAACTGAGCTAAGTACACCCTGGAATTGCTGCTGAAAACCCAGGACACTGGGTCTCACAGATTTTGGCTTCCCAATGAAACCCAACAAGGTTGTAAATCAGGTTTGGAAGCTCATATAATGGCAAAATAAATACCATACAAGAGAGTTGGCAACTGACGCTGAGAAATTCTACAAAGGTATTTCCAAAGCAGCAGGACAGATCCTTCCCCTTCCCTGCCACCCATTCCAGACATTCAGAAGCCAAGGGTGCTGCACCCTTACCCACCCCCCACCCACCCCCACCTTTGACAGCAGGAGAGAGCCAGCACCCATGTGTGAACACGGTAGTAGCTTGGCTGGCCATGACAGTCTCCTGCATTCAAGGCTGACCTGAGGACTCTCCACCCTGTAGGACAAGATGAAAGTGCCCAGGTGACAGAGTGCCAGCTTGTACCATCTGCCACAGTGGCAGACGCAGAGAGGATTCCACCCATCTGTTCCCCCACTTGGACTGCAGTCTTGGACCTGATTTGGAGAGGGGCTTTCTGGGTGAAGCCAGCCCACCCTTCTTTCCTCGAAGAAAGAGGCCTGAGAGTGGCTTAACCTGCCCTGTTTGACTGGACTCCAAAGGAAAAAAATGCATTTGCAGCACAGGCTGGGACAG